TCCACTCTGAGGATTCCAGCCCAAGTAGACACCGGAGCCTTCGTTCTCAGTAGCTGTCGCCACGTGGCCTCCACACACCGCCAGATGTCTGGCAGGTCGGGTGAAACGAAGGCCGGCTGTGCTGGACAGGCCAGGCCGTAGAAGCCCTGACGCAGGCGGCTCACCGGCCTCGGTGGCAACGGTGGGGGAGTGGTAAGCCTGCACGCTCCGCCGCCATAGTCATCACCGCCGGTCCTATGCTGTTGGCCTTACTGGTGGTCGCCGGAAATCCCAGACAACGAGGCGTCGTCATCGTCGTCCCTCTCCCCGACGCTCGGACCCGCCCGGTCCGCTGGAATGGCGAACACGAAGGGCACTCCCTCCTCGAGGTCCTTCATCTCCACCACGTCGAGCTCTGGGTCCTCCACCGGCGAGACGTAGCAACCCTCTCACTGCGCCTGCCGTTGATGGTGGGCGGGGCGAGGAATCAGCTGGCAGGCGCTGCAGACTGCAAGAGGGCCCAGGTTGGCCGCCGCGTGGTCGCACTCGATGCACCGACAGTGGGGGTTGTCGCCTTCTATGGAGCCCAGACACAAAGGACAGGGGCGCTCCAAAGGTGAGTCCATTTTCTTCGATTTAATGCTTTATTCTTTATCTGTCTCTCTTCTTGCTGAAGAGAAAGGGATGACAGTAAGGAGGCGAGGCCTCCTTTTATGCGGTGAGATGCGCGCGCATTCAGGTAGGCCCGCCCCGGGGCCAGCTACGTCTAGAAAGTCTCAGTGGATGAATGCGAGGGGAGTACCCATAGACTCCAGTAGAGGGCGGAGCCTGTGGGAGATATAACCGTGGTGCAGCCGAAGTAAGTTTCTTTTACAATTTTGTTTAAAACAATCTGAAATGTTCCCAATTTCCCATATGCACATCTTCTTACAAATGATTTGTAAAACATTTGAATGTGTAACACTTAAAAAAAACTGTTATTTGGCAGAAACAAAAAACTGTAAGCTTCCATTGGATTAAAATACACTTTAATTATTAACAGTCATTGGTTAACATGACATTTAATTTTTCCGTTTGGTTTAAGGAATAAATAGAAGTGCATATGAGTGACTGTACATACAGTGGATAAGTGTATACCCACAAGTTTTAAATATTAGTTTCCAAAAGTCTAAAAATAAAAGTGTATTTTTACATGTATTTTTGCTTTGCTTGGCAGTGGTGTCAATGTGTAGCCACTATTGTTTTTAAGGACATCAATATGTCCCTAAATTAATATTATATGTATTATAAATAGGTTTTGAAATTAACATTACTTCATATGTAGTTAGACTATGATTTTTGCCCATCCAAATGTAGCTCACACATTTAAACACTCACCAAACAAAATGCAAACAAAATGTTATTTCCATCCAGCAAGCTGGGTGCATCACGAAAAAGTTGTGGGGGAATTATACCACTAAACAAGAAAAGGCAAGAATATGGAATTAAATAAAAACTCCAGTCACAATCAGTCTTTTTTCACTTCACTACAGATTCTGTCTAATATCCAGCATTTCCATTCACGTTTTTTGTGTAAAAAATAAAAACCTGAAATTAGAAATAGTGAATACTGAATATTACAGAGAGTGTCATCAGGCTCCTCCTGATGTCTCTCAGGAAGTAAAACAGAATAAGCAAACAACAATGCATGTGCCCCCGTGGATCTGTCAGGTATACTGAAATGAATGGGCTCAAAGTAAAACACAGACTCTGAAGGATTCCTTTATCACATCAAAACTTGGCACAGAGGCTTTAGTTGTTGAACATTCATGAAATAAATTAAATGCTCTAATGCACACAAATCAGAATTTAATTTCAAAGAGGGGTGCACAGACTGTCCCACACAACAGTAGATAGTGGCATGGCTTATGTGAACATGTTGACATGGTGGTGATGATATGCAGATGCACTGATTTTCCAGAGACAGTCTGTGGAATTAGATGCACAGACAGAGGCATAGAGCACACATCCATTACGAGCTGTTAGAGGAACACACACACTCATTAGAAAACACACATCTCAATATTATATTTTTGTGGCGGGCATAACCAATGTAGAAAACTAGGGATGCGCAACAATATGTTTTTCTTAAACCAACATATTTCCAAAAATAACCAACAATAACCAATAAACAGATTATTCCACTAATTCCTTAGAGTCTTCCTAACTCCCAACATGTACACTGGTCTAATATTACAAACCAGGACTAAAGTTGTGGCTCTCTTTGAAGGCTCCAGCTACAGCAGCCATCTTCTCAACTCGTAAGATGTTCCCATAACCTGTTTTCTTGCCTTGCGCTGACTTCTGTGTCAAATTTGTATTCAGTACGCATATGTACATTCAAAGAGGTAAGTTCCTGTTCTAGCTGTGGAACGATTAACAGGCCACTTTAAGAGACCAAAAGCCACAGTCCTGGAGCTAAAATTACCAATTAGAATTTAGATTTGACACACCCTTCATTAGTGTAGTCCTGGTGATATGACCTAAGGAGCTAAACAATGAAATGAATTGTCCCTGGTTATTCATCTAGCTTGTTTCATGGCCTGCCAGTAGTATAAAAACATGGAAGGGGTTAGCATGGGCAGAGGGATGAAAACAATTACAATTGTTTTTTTAATGTATGGCATTTGAGTTTGAAAGTGAGTATCACTATCATTTGTTTCAAACATGCCCATTTAAAAAAAAAATAAGAGGTAAAATATCAACATTGAGTGAAAATAATTAAACAACAAATATGCAAATTAGTAAAAAATATAATCCTGCTAATTTAACAGCTGTTGCCAACATCTGCACAAACAAAAAACACTTCCACTAACACAGCTCTTCACATTGCAACTATTATTGAAGTTGTTGCAATAATCCATTTGAACATAGTGTATGTTTAATACATTATGGCAGGGGTGCCCAATACGTATATCGCAAAGGTGGTGTGGGTAGATCGCATGGCATTGAAAAAAATTTATCCATCCTTACTATGGCATTTGCCACTTGATTGACGTACAGGTACGCCAGTCTGAGTTGTATCGTGCCACACGGGTTCATGCAGTTATGGGGGGGCCTCACCTCCTCATCTGAAGCGCAAATGCGGTGCACTACTATGCGCTTATGCGGTGCAATTAGTGTAAGCGCACCACAGTTTATCCGCCGTTTACTCCACTAGCACCCCCCCCCCGCTCGCGACACAGATTGGGCAGTGGCGGGCGGTCCTGTAGCTAGATCATTTGGGCTTGGTCATTTTAAAAGTAGCTCCCAAGCTGAAAAGGTGTGGGCACTCCTGCATTATGGGATATGTGCTTCATCGAGAGGGCTCTGCCTGCAGGTCTCCACTCTCAGGACAGTTCCGGTGTAGGCTCCACTCTCAGTACAGGAAGTGACGATTCTGACGAACACATTTATCACGAGAGGAGAGGAGAAAAATGGCCTTGGGCTTGACCAAGGCTGACCCAAACTGCATGGTGAGCGGACTCATCACCTCTGTGATTTGAAAACTTCAATCAGACGAGTCCTTCGGGGGGCGGGGAAAAAAACGTGTTCGTCAGAATCGTCACTTCCTGTACTGAGAGTGGAGGTGTCCTGAGAGTGGAGCCTACACAGGAACTGTCCTGAGAGTGGAGGCCTGCAGGCAGGCTCCCATGGCTTCATCAGCTCTAACTCTGTGTGTTTCTGAGCAGTACAAACAAACAGCAGTGCTAATAAGTAGCTTTAAAAATTATTGCTCATTTTATATACTGCAATTCACGTTTTTTACTTCAACAACCTTATTACAATGTGAGGAGAGATTTCCTTCACAACGCCATGTGTACAATACAAGGTAAACCCAAAGTCCATAAAATAACCAGATTAACAGATTGCCTCTTGAAGAACATTTTATTCTCTGAGTAGAAAGAAACCAAGCTTGAAATAGCACCTAAATCCCCAAAAGGATAGAAGACACCTGTAAGGACCTTCCAGTGATCTCATGTCAGGTTCCTGGTGAACACGCGCTCCCCTCGCAGGGTGAGGTGCTGCAGTTGGTACTGCAACACCTCCGTGTCCGACGACTCTCTTATTCTTGTTTTGTCCAGATTTAGGTAGTCTAGAGACTTGGACTGGGCCCTCTTCCCTTTAAGCAGACAGAGTGGTAGTGAAGCATGTAGACCCCTCCCAGCTTCCCCCTGGGCCAAGGACCTGAGGATTGGGTCACTGGAGCTGGGCATACGCCTCCGCCTCCGCCCATTGGCAGTAGGAATCTCGTAGGGTTGGTAGTAACGACTTTTTCCTTTGCAGATTCGTGGAGACTTGTGGAGAACAGATTCTCCAGCCTTTGGGACACTGCTCTGGATGGAGTTGGACACCATTTCTGAGACAGAACCCTTCTCTGGAGGGCCTTCTGACCACCTGTTGGCCAGCTTTAGCAGTTCCTCCCCAGTGGTGAAGCCCACCAGATAATTGGAATCCATGTGGAGGATCTGGTACCCTGCGACAGTGCCTCTGATGGGGGAACAGGGGGTGCTGGAACATCGAGGTCTCTCTCTGTCAGGTTTTAATGTGGCTTTGATTTCAGCTGCAGGAACAATGGAGACGTGTGCTCTTGACCCTCCGTTGATATCCATTTCCATCCTTACAGACTTATCCTGAATAAAGATGTAGAAAAAAAAGTTGAGTCATTCTTGTTTCTGGCAAAAAAACAGCAAACACAAACATTCGGTGCCCACATTCAGCAAATATCTGAAGGCAAGACATCCACTCACTCCTAAGGGCCAGGTCAGTCCTAACTCACAATCACTCCCACTGTAGTAAACTTCTCAAATCATTACACAATTTGCTTTTTTAATAATGGTGGAATTCACCATCCTCAATTAAAAAATACAGTACAGAAGCAGTCCAGTTTATAAATATTGTGATTGTGCATTATTTTTAGTTAATGGACAAATAAAATTGCTTTGTACAAAATGTGTTTTATTATTATTGCAATAAACCAAAGCAAAGACAAATGTAAGTGAATTTAAAGAAAGGTAATCAGCCTGCTAACTGCTCTCATTTACTCAAGTACTGTACTTCTTCTATCTTGAGCTATTTTCATTTTATCTACAGTATTTTATACTTATACTCCACTACATTTTAGAAACCAATATTGTAAGTTTTTCTCCATAGCAATTATCTAAAATCTTAAGTTACTTTGCAGATTCAAATTATTAGCTAATACAAAACGTAATAGGATAAAATTATATTTTTATGGCGCTTTTCTGGGACTCCAATTTGGCTTTACAATATAAGGGAGATCAACAAATAAGAAATACATATTTACCGTATATTTACGTAATTATTGGTTGGCGGTGGTTCAGCGGTGATGAACACATAAATGCATCAATTCTGCAAATGATCATGCCTGTTCTGCTTACATGCACACATGTAACAACGCCCTCAGCCCTACATGGAACTACAACTGAAGGCATGGTTTGCAGATTTGAGGAGGCCTTTGGTTATCTATGCTTATTCTGTCTTAGGGAAAACAGGTATGACATGTGTCTTGAATATTTTTTACTCATAATGAAGTAGAACTTTGATTTAAAACAAAGTTTATTTCGATGTCTGTGTGACAGTGAGTGAGCCACAGGCCTTTTATTAAGAGGAGTTTTTCCTTTGCACATTTAAGTAAAAACACCTTTAAAAACTCCTGTTCATTTCGCATAATTTGGTAAGCAGGTACAATGTTTGGACTTCATTTCCGTTTAACTAAAGTTATCTAGATTAATAACTTTACAAATAACATATTTGTGAGATTAACTAAACCACCCCAGTTATTAATAACCTACATTAAGATATTTTTTAGATTAACGATTTTACATTAGTAATTTGGGATATCTTCATATTTGCTCCATTAAGAATGATGAATTTGAACTTTTTTACTGAACCACAGAATGAAAGGCCTGCTGTCATTATTTAACTGAAAGCGAATATCTTAAACACTGACAGATCCACCAGCACGCAGACAGATGAGCACGCAAACACACACACACACACACACACACACACACACACACACACACACACACACACACACACACACACACACACACACACACCCTTTATGAGTGGTGGTGTTGAGGCTGTACAGAGAACATTCGGGAGGAAAGATGGAGACATGCGGAGCATCATGTCCGCTGCTGTCAGGAGATACTGTGGACATCCACTGTGTATATACACTGTATTCATAAAGCGGAGCCATGTTAAATGTGACGCCCTCATCATGTCAGACTCCGAGTCTCATCACATTGATCCAGTCATGATGGCGCGTGACCAAGGGACTGTTTACGGGGGAGCACGAGCTGATCTATCTGTGTTATTCTCTCGGTGATCTCCGGCTCTCACCGCGATACTGACGGAATAAAATACAAATCAACACAAACCTGAGTGAAGAGAAAAGATGTCCCTCCCGTCTGCCTCTCTCCTCTCTGCTGTGTTCCGACAGCCACAGGAACACTTCCGGTGTGTTTCTCCACAGCACAAGCGATTATAAAATATTTCAGTTGGCCTATACATCATTTAAACAATTTTTATTTCAGAATAAATCATTAAACCCCTAAATGGGCATTCACATATACATATTTTGGAAAATTAATTGACTGCTTTTTTTCTACACCCATATCCTACTACTATTGCAGCCATGCAATTGCACTCGTGATACACCCATATTATAGCCAAATATTACACTGTTATCACACCCATTTTATCCCCCAGCATACAGACACCATTTAAGGGTTACATTATTTGTTGGTTTCAAATATCAGAAGACAATATTCACGAGTCCCCGCTGTTGTAATATTTTTTTTAAATAACACAACGGTTATATCATCAAGTTTATTGAAGCTCTTTCTATGGAAGCAAACAAGAGACAGAAGTATTTGAATTTGATCAGACACCGAATTTATAGCATTGAAAATAATTACTTTGAAAATCATGGATCTGAATTTTTTTTGCTCCGAATTTACCTATGTGAAATAAAAATGTAAAATTTCAAGTAAAAAAAAATGGAATGTTCAAATTCAGATCACAAAAATTCAAGTGAAAACAATTTGAATGCATAATTTCAGTGTTAAAAAATTCGGTGTATAATGTCCAAAATTGCGATGCAGCATCATCCGGGCTACTCAGACAGGATAAGCAATCGAGCCCGAATGCAATCAAACCGATTTCTGGCCTATCAGTGCACGGCTTTGTCAGTCATGTGATCACAACAACCCGGGAGAAAAATGACGGAGAACAGTGGGGCTCGGGTAAGTACTCAGTTTGTGGTCTTTATTTTACAAGCAGTGAGGGCTCGACAGCATTTGTATCTTACATTAGCTAGCTAAATGAGTGAAGTAGCCTTGTTCCTTGCTGTTAGCAAGCTCCGTAGTTATCATTAATTGAAGTGAATCACAACGTTACCGTGTCCTTTTGTGTGTGGGTCAAGTAGAACATGCTACACTATACAAATACTCTCTTACAAAAGCCCTGCATTCAAACATGTTAATGTTACTTTTGTAAAAGTATGCTAGTATAATTAGGAAAGTGTTGTTAAAGTATTTAAAGTAGACACAAGTTATACTATTATATTATATCATGTTTTATTGTTATTACCGATGCAAGAGTTGACTTAACTGTTGTAGTTGGAGCTCATTTTGAACAATGAGCTAACTAATGATTACTTTCATAATGGTTTAATGTGCTGACTATTTTCTACATTAATACATGAAGATCTGGTTTGTTCAAACTCTGAAAATAGTAGGACATGCTGTCATAATTACCCAGAGTCCGAAGTGACACCTTTACAATGTTAAAGCTGTTAGATCAATGTAGTGATGTAAAAAATAAAATATTCAAGTGTAGTGAAAAATAGATAATGTTTTAAAAACATGTTAGTAAAACAAAATCTCTTGTTTTGGACTGACAGTAATGATTCAAGAAATAGTAGATCAATAAATACACACACATCAATCTGTGTGCATTTGTTGTGGATGGAACAGAACAACTGGTGCTCTGACCTGTGATGCCTCCTCCAAACATTATAACCAGACTGTATCATTCAAGCTATAAGC